TCTGCCACTCCACGCCATGCTGGGCGCGGCACCTCATCAGCTCCTCGTCCGTCACGCAGGATGGCGGCGCAGGTGCGATCGGGAGCACTCTGCCTAGGGGTCCCCATCTCTCCGCCGTAGGCACCTCCTCAGCTTCCTTGCCCCTCACTGGGCTGGGAAGCTCCTGGCCTGCTCCAGCTGCGCGCTGACCTGCTGCGCCACCGCTGCTGCTGGGCTGAGGGGCCTCCTCTTCAGCGGCAGAGGCTGCCTGCCTCTTCTCGACCCAGAGGCTGGGGGGCCTCACGTGCACTCCTTCAGCCGCATCAACCTGAAAGGGACAACCCGCGATTCCGCACGGTGCCTGGCTCGGAGGTGCACTGCCAGTCCCAGCATGGGGAGGGATGTCCGCCTGCGCCTCCTGCACAGCGCTGCCCGCGGCGCTGCTGCCCCCTCTCTCCGCTGCGTCGGTGCCCTGCGCTCCTGGCGCCAGGGCCCCGAGGTGCGCTGGCTGGTCCTCAACGCCTGGTGCAGCGCCGAGCCCTTCCGCGCCAACTTCTCGCCGTAGCCCGCAGCTGCCGAGGATGCTCTGCCACTCCTCGCCATGCTGGACGCAGCACCTCATCAGATTCACGTCCGTCACGCAGGACGGCGGCGCAGGTGCGATCGGGAGCACGCTGCTTAGTGGTCCCCATCTCTCCGCCGCAGACACCCCTTCAGCTCCCTTGCCCCTCGCTGGCCGGGGAATCTCCTGGCCAGCTCTAGCTGTGCGCTGACCTGCTGCGCCACCACTGCTGCTGGGCTGAGGGGCCTCCTCCTCAGCACGTGGGGTGCTCCTCGCTGCGGCCTCACCCTCGAACCTCAGCACCGACGCGAGCTGCTCCTGCACCCTCATCCTGGCTTGCCTCCAGCTGCTGCCGTGGTCTCTCTCACAACACCCTTGCGGCCGAACCTCAGGAAAGGTCCGCGGCTTCTGGACCAGCCTGAAGCGCTCCTCCTCTTGCTGCCTGCGGATCTCGAGGATCACCGCCGAGTGCGGGTACACTGGCGAGGCCTCCACCACCCGCACACCCAGCGCAGCCAGCCCCCTGGACACCAGGAAGAAGTCGATGGTCCTCCCCGACGCTGCACACGTGGGCGAGGCGGGCCTGACCACCTTGCCGTCGAACATGTCGGGCACCCCGCCTGCCTGCAACTCTTCCTCCGTGAGGTTCCAATCGCCGCCCACCACGAAGTCCCTGCGGCACTGCCTCAACCTCCTTGCCAGCCTCCTGAGGCTGGCCACGTTGCCATCGTTGAGGCCGACCCCCGCCTCCAGGTAGAGGTTGGCGAGCAAGAAGCCGCTGCTCAGCACGCCTGACACCCAACACAGGTGCACTCGCCCTGCCACCAGCACCGCTGCCTGCTGGTCCTGCACCTCCGCCATGCCATGGCTCCTCCTCACCATGGTGAGGAGGCCTCCTGTGCTGAGGCCTCCTGCCGCTGACGGCACTGCAGGCGTGCCTCTCGCCCGCCACCCTTGGCTGCGGAGCTGCGCCTCCGCATCACTGCTCCTTCCCTCCAGGAGCCTCGTCTCCTGGACTAGTATGGCGTCGCAGTCCTGCACCTCACTCACCGCCATGCACTTTCCCAGGTTGCTGAACGCATTGACGTTGACCGTGCAGATCCTCCAGACCCCACACTTCTTGCTAGGACTCCTCCTCCATCTGCTTGACCTCCGTCCGCATCTTCTTGGCGTCGCCCAGCAACTGCTCCGCTGCTTCCCTCTTGGCGGGGTCCTCAATCCCGCACGTGATGTCCTGCCACGCTTGCTGCGCCGCCTGCGACACGCCAGGCCCCTCCTCCTTGGGAGCGTCCACCTGCTGCGCTGCTGCTGGCACCGCCGAGGGCACAGGGACCGCCGCTGCCACAGGCGCACGGGGAGGCGCCCACGCTGCGGCGGCGGCGCCTGGCATGCCGCTGAGCTCCGCAAGCACCTTCCCGAGCTTCGCGATCTCGTCCCTCGACAAGCCGCCGATCGCCTCCTGTTTCGACTCCAGGGAGGCTGCTGGTGCTGCTCTCGGCTCGGCGGCTGCTGCCGCCGCCTCAGCCTCCTCGGCCGCCACCCTGGTGCGCTGAGCCGCCAGCGCCTCGCGTGCCTTGGCCGCCGCCTCGTCGCACTCCTTCCGCAGCAGCACCAACTTGTCCGCGAGGCTGGCCGACTCGTTGATGGCCGCCACCGCCTTGGCCTTTGCCTGCTCCAGCTGGCCCTCCAACTTCTTGACCTGCAAGACCTTGGCGTCCGCCTGCACCTGGGCCGCCTTGACCGTCTTGTCCTTGGACAGCTCGGCCCCCAGTCCGCCCTCACGCAGCCTCCGTGCCTGCAGAAGCTGCTCGCGGACCTTCGGGGCCAGGAGCGCGGCGGTGAGGGCGAAGTCGGCCTCTGCCATGCACACGAAGCCACTGCGCTGCTCCTCGCTGAGCTCCACGGCGCCACCAGCGTCACGGCCGCCACCTTCTCCGCCTCGCCACCACGGGGCACGTG